TAATATTCTGCTACTTCTAGGATTCTATTCTGGGGTTCACTGTGCTCATTCCTTCAAATTAGCCTCACTGTTACTAAAAGTAAGAGAAAAGGGGAAAATGCTAAGCCGTATTTTAGAGCAAGAAACAAAAAATGAAGATGAATCCAATACCATTTTAACTGACTTTCTCTAGTTTTTCTCCCTTGAGTTTCCAGGCTTCTTTGAGTTCCTTCCTTTGCCTACTTCTCTCTCTATACTTACGGTCGTCTCTCTTCCACACCAAATCTCTTTATATGCATAAATTGAGTATGAAATGCAATGAGGAAATTGGCTGCACCAACATGTGCTCACAGAATGAAGAGGGCTTGCAGTATAAATGTCGAGGGAAGTGCTACGGTCAGATGGTAGCCTCTTTACAAAATGCAATCAAGCACCTATGCATTCATGTAGATTATTTCATTTAATTCACACAACATTGCAAGCTAGAAACTTTACTCCCATTGCTGTGTGAATTATGTGGGACGCTTGCAAACTTTAGTACCTTAACTACTTACAATGTCATTTAAAACCAAAGATGCCCTCTATCATTGTCCTGAAACTCTTCTTCCTCTGATATTTAGTTTTCCAGAATGTTATGATGTTTGAAATCTAATAATTTTATCTCTTTAAACAGATTTCACATTGCAGCAACATAGACATTTTTAAAAATGAGTACACCTGCTGGAGCTTCGAAGACTGATATTTAGGATCAGGGACTTAGAAAAGTAAGGGCACTTCTTCCGTCCTCCATATTCAGAGAAAGCAAATATTGAAAATTACATATGAGCATAAACACATTAATGTAATTAGGCATAATTTTCTATTATTCATTTTGTACACTGCTTTTAGATGTGGGTGAAGAAAGAGACATTTTAAATGAATGCAATAGAAGTAGTTTATTTATAAATTCATTAATCCATATTGCAACTAAATGAACTCTGCAATACTTAAGTTATTTGCTGTAACAATACCCAAAACCAGTGTTTCCAAACATCAATCATATATCACTTTTGTGATATTGAGGTACCAACTCTACTACAGTTAATATTTTTCTTTAAATTGATCTAAAATATACTTACACATTAAGCTTGCCTCATCTTAAGCAACAATAGCTACAAAATCATAGGCTTGGAGTGCCGATTATGTATCTTTTCTATTATGTATTATGACAGTATTTATAAATATAAAGATAAAAATAACTCATCCCTTACCAACCTAAAACGTTTCTACAATGTAGAAAACATTGTCATAATTGAATTAAAATTTAAAATGAATGTTGAGAACTTTCTAAGAACAGAACAGTCTGAGCATTTTGTTTTTTAAAAAGACCTTTACCCTGGACAGCTCTAGGAAGAAAAAGGGCATACACTATTATTGTCTACTAGAAAGAACTCTGGTCTAGAATTCTGCTCCACCCTGCCACACTCTATGCTTCAGTTTCTCATGTTTAGGGAGATTTTTTAAAAGCCACATATCCATCTGACATAACCTTTCTTATTCAGTATACACAATTAAAGAGGATCCAACAGCAAGGGGCCGGGATGATGAGAAAGGTAGGGAGGAACTGGTGGTGTTTCATCACAGAGACCAGGCCACTTAGGAGATGACATCAGAGTGTTGAAAGGCTGTGATCAAGGAGGTGAAGTACAAGAGAAAGAGTTTCACACAGAGAAGAACAGAGCTCTTTGGGTGGGTTTGGGATTCAGCTGGAGCTGTTCAAGAAGTGAGGGGATCAATCACTGGTCTGTGATGTTGAAGAGGGTCATGTGCTGGGTAAGGCTTGGAGAGACAGTATCAGGTCCTTTCCCACCCTGGTAATAATAATAGGCACCAATGATTAAATGCTCTCCAAGGTGGACTATGCATTTTAATACACCTTATCTCATTTGATTTCCACAATAACCCATAGGGGTAGGTATGATGGTAACCATTTTGCAAATGGAGTAACTGAGTCTAAAATATGATAGAAGTTGAATTTGAACTCAAGCCAGAGTGACTCAAAAAGCCCATCTACTAACCATTATGTTATATTATAAATGTGGTCTGGGAAAGATAAAGTTTTTGTTTTGTTTTGTTTTGTTTTGTTTTGGTTTTGTTTTGCTCAGAAAGTTTCTTTGCCCTCTCGGCCAAACTGAAGCCAAGCCATCTTCTTGAAAAAAAACTGTTGTAAACTGTAATTGTGTGAAAAGGAAACTGAAAAGCCATTGCCATTATCTCAGCTGGTTTCCTTCAAATTTCTGAGAAAGCCAACATTATTTCCCAAGGAAAATTTATTTAATTATAATCTCTGTTTTGAGAGTAGAGAACAGAATGGAAGAAACCAACATTTCCTAAGGAAAACTTATGCTTTTAATTTTTGTGTTTTTGTGTTTTTAATAGAGAACAGAAGAATCCAGAAGCCATGCTACTTATTTACCCAAATGATGTTACAAAATCAGCAAAAGCTTTGGTTTCTTTTGTTTGCCTGGATCCTTTTGAAAAAAAAAAAAAAATATGAAA